AAATAAAAATTATAAATTACAAGGGTAAAATAGTCTTTTGAACATTTATCCTTATTCAGTCCGTCTAACCAAACATTGGATTCACTAAAAATAGTCCAATCCAGATATCTAATCCCATGACTAAACAAACATAGGATACAAATCCAATCCAACCAAATAGTCTGGGAACAATGTATCCCAAGACTAACAGTCTAATGGATTACAATCCCCTCTTATCCAGTCCGTCCAAACACAAGTGTGTTTGTTTGAGGGATTATTCCATGGGATTCGGATATTAGTCCATTCGAACTAATAGTTCATTGTTTGGTTTTATTTTTTTGTTCCGGATTAATAGTCCCTCCGGACTATTAGTCCCTCATATGAGGGATTATTGTATCCTAGGAGGGGATGAGTTTATTTCCATAGGATTGATATCACATGAGACTAATGTGTGAAATTTCCATTTTATCCTCATGCTATTACTTAATGAACAATTGAAAAATGATAAAATAGTCTTTTAAATATTTATAAATTATTTTTTTAGTGTTGTTAATTTGAAACTTTCTTGGACCATAATAAAAGAGAATATCTTGATACAGCATCCTTTCGAAAAAAGGGTTTCACATTGATAATTTATTCCTACAAGTCCCCTGTAACCAATGGAAGATTGAACAATCTCATCTCTTTCATCCAAGCACACTCTAAGATTGTGTTCGAATATTTGATTTGTGAAATAGAAGCACACTTTTTACTTTTCTATTCCCTTTTATTTTTCCTCTACAATTTTAGGATCCGAAGACAAGTTTAAAAATTAAATAATAAAAAAAGTAATAATAATAAATAAATAAATTCAAAACAGTAAAATTTCTAACCAATTCATTTAAAACAGTAGAATTCACTAACCCTTGGGGCTTATTTTGCTTTAACAAACTTCTACTTGAAAAAATTGTACATGAAAAAGTTAAACAACGATCCTGCAGCAAAACCATAAACGAATTACATAGACTAATACAACAAAACAATACATAGCAAGCAACAAAATACTACTCAAGCACATCCATGTTTTATTGTTTTAGACTTGCAACTGGACAATACAATGCTCTTGGCCAAAGGTAACAGTTGAAGGATTGCTCCATAGTCGTGACTTATGTTCGAAGAATGAATCAGCGAAGAAAAGAGAAAATTATAGATATGCTCATAGTTGGCAACAAGGGCTTGGAGCAAACGAGGAATTGGAGACGGCTCCACATCAAGGATCCCTTCAAGGATCTGAACTACCTGACCGATTGATGGCCTATCATTCTCATCATCTTGGATGCACCAACAAGCAACTTTACAAATTCTCCATACCTCTTCAACATCAACATGTTTCTCCAACCTATGGTCTAATAGGCTAAGGACATCTCCACCTTTTATGACTACACTCGCCGCCCAGACTGGAAAGAATTTAACTATCCTTTCTCCAGATTGATCAGTGTTTCTTCTTCCCGATATCAATTCAAAGAGCATCATACCGTAGCTGTACACATCAGCTTTGGTGGTAATAGCCACTCCTAATATCCACTCTGGTGCAAGATAGCCCGTTGTCCCTCTCATGGCAGTTAGAACCCTGCTAAATTCTAGCCCAAGAAGCTTTGCCAGACCAAAATCTGCTATTTTTGGGCGGAAGTCAATGTCTAATAGAATGTTTGATGGCTTTATGTCACAATGTATGATACAGTCCCTGCAATTTTCGTGGAGATAAGCCAACCCCTTAGCTGTCCCTAGTGCAATTTGGTACCTTGTTTTCCAGTCCTAGACTTTTGACTCATTTTCATGGAAGAGATGGGAATGCAAGGATCCATTCTGCATGTAATCATATACTAACAACTTGCTTTTACCTCCAGAGCAGAACCCACGAAGCCGAACAAGATTAACATGTTAGATAGTGCCAAGGGTGCTGACTTCTACTCGGAATTGCTTCTCTCCTTGGTTGATGCTTTCCAGCTTCTTCACAGCTATGACAGTGGAATCAGGCAATGTCCCTTTGAAAACAAAGCCAAAACCACCTCCTCCCATTTTCTCTGAGAAATTCTCCGTTGCTTTTTGTAGATCTTTGAATGTAAATGCAACCAATGAACCATAAACTGTTGTCATCCTCTCTTCAGGTAGAAGCTCAACCATCGAGAAGTGTTTGGCCAAAGCAGACAAGGGGTTGCTATAATCCTGTTTTGTTGCTTCCAGAGAACAACACAAATGAGGCCCAAGACGACTACTATTGCAACTGAACCCACTACAGCACCAATAATAATCCCCATTTTCCTTTTAGGCTTTGGAAACTCAGAAGCAGCAAGTCTGAGATAAAGAGTGTTTCCACTACCATCTTGCAGATTCATGAGCTCCCCAATCCAAATTGAACACCCATTACTATCATAAGCATAAGCAGTGCAAGAGCAATTATTCAAGCAAGAAGATTCACATTCAGTGGCACTGCTAACAGCCACAGATTGAGGATTTTCAGGCGATCTCGTGTTGGGAATTTCCCAAAACCTGTCTTTCTCTTGATTAGCAGCAGTAATATTCCCACACAATAACTCAGTTCTCCTCACACACCCTCCAGAATAATCACTTAAATTCCAATAATGGACCGACTTAGGATTGAAACCCGTCAAACAATTACAGAAGGGTTGTATAATATTATTGCATATTCCATATTGCCCGCAAAAATGATAAACCTAGCATTGCTGTCTCGATTGAGCCCAATACAATTTCCACTGCTTTGTGCCTTCCAACCAATCGAGTTGTTGGATTTGCCCCGAAATATCCATATTAAATCTAGAAATATTTGAAGGATTATACATAGAATATGTGAAGTAACTCTCATTCTCATTGTCGTGATAGCTAAAATTAAAGACATAGCTAGTTCTCATTTCAGGTACCAAGCTGAAAATCTGCCCATTCCAAGGACCACTAGTCCAATACTGGTTAGACCCATTCCAAAATATAACATACTGACTATTATTTGCATCAAGACTAAGAGAATACAGTCCTGTTGAAGGGTCTTCTGAGTTCTTCCATGAAGTTAAACGTTGGTGTGTGTTGGTCAGCTTGTTGTAAGCAACTTTCCACCAGGGAACCAAGTGTGAGCAGGGTGATCAAAACTTTGCCAAATTGGTTGATTTGAATTAGACCCATCTCTCAAAATAAAATTCCCATCATCCCCAAGAACAACCACCACAGAATTGGAAGTGGTAGAGTTCTGATTTGTGGACCAAATCAGGGTTTGGGATTCATTTAAAAGAACCAAATTACCATCTAAGATTTTGAGTACAGAGGAATACTTATCAAAGATGGGATTATCTCTATTGGCTACCCAAACTATTGTTAGAGTAGATACTTTGGCGTACCACATGGCTATGTAATAGTATGAGGAATTACCTGGTTTGTAGAAACCCAGTTCAAAATTCCCACCAGCAGAGGTTATGGTCTGGTTCCCAGAAAGAGATTGATTTGCAGAGATGGTGTCAGCTCCATGGGAGAGATGGTTGATGAAAGAGAAGAAGAGGAGAAAGAAAATCGAAAACATGAAGGATGAGTTGTTTTTTATACCCATTATTGGCTCAAAGTTTTGTTCATATTATTATATAATCAGACGTTTGAATGAGCCTTAAAATGCAACAAAGGTCATGATAGAAGAAGGAGAAGCAGAAGCTTAGTGGCTGATATTTTGTTATTTCAACATTATTGACTTAAAATTTTCAACTCAATAATGTTTCTTTATTTGATCATCTAACCCCTTTCCAACAATTTAATGTATGTCTCTAATTTCTTCTGTCTTACTACTCTTCTTTGGACTTCACTCTCACTGTAAATGATGATAAAAAATTAACTGGATTGGAGTCAAAAAAATTTAGACTGTTTGGCCAATTCTTTTGTTCAAAAAGAATTTATTCAAAAATTTCAGAGTTATCCACAAATATTGTTTTTTTAAATGATAAAATATATTTGTAATCCTTAAATTATGCATTTGATGTTACTTTCGTCCTCCAATTTTAATTTTAGGATAAATTATAGCAAACCTTCTTAAATATGACCTATTTACATTTTACACCCTAAATTTTAAAACTTAACAGTTAACTCTCTCAAATATTAGAAACTGAAGTGAGTTTATACTTTACAGGTAAATGTTATAATTGTTCACTCAGTGAGTTTTTAGAGTCATCTATAATTGAACTAATTTAATTAAAATGACACAAAATACATATTTTATCATAATTATGTTAGGGAAAATCGATGTGATTCCCCACAAGTAAATCAATCAATGGGAATAAAAACTAATGCGAAAAAATTAAATCAAAGGCAACACAAGAATTTTTACGTGGTTCCCTCAATGTGAGGTACGTCTACGGGATCGAAATCCGATTCCACTATCAACCAAATAAGTTTCAAACGATTACAAACGAGACACTAATGGTCTCACAAAACCACCCTTAGGTGAATTCCAAATAATCACAAATAAACAAAGAGGAAAGACTTCACCAAATAGAAGAACCAAAATCTTCATAACCAAAGTTAAAGAAGACCCAAAATAATAGACCGAAATCAAATCTATCAAACCAGCCGAATTCGAACCAATCACAAACAGAGTATTTTTTTCGAAGCTTGAACACAAATGCCACCAAATTGATTGATTAGCCCAAAGCATTGACCAACGGTCAACAATGGAACAATGGAATTTACCCAGCAAAGTCACCAAAAAACAAATCAATATAGATAGCACTCCTCTGTCTCTTCGGCAGAACAAAACTAATATCAATATATATATATATATATATATTATCTAGGGTTTTGTAATCAAACCCTAATTGTTACCAAATTAGATTGGGTCTCCTTAAATATAATATATAAAAATATATTATACCTAAACCAAGCCAAATTGAAACTCTTTAACAAACCAATTGGGTCCCACACTCCAATAAGGAGGTATACCCAACAATTCTCCCCCTACCGACTTAGGTGGAGATATCAACCATCACTACCTACATGGCCATTAACTTGCTCAGATACTCTGGAATCAGTCATCGTATTTATGTGGAGTGTACTCTATAAATCATTTGTTTTTACCAATATGTTCATCATCAAATTTATGGTAGATGAATAGACTATAGTGTGTGCACAATTGCACATGGAGTCTCTGTGTATTTATGTGGAGTCTCTGTGTATACACATTTCATATGTGGTATCCATTATGCTTTACCTCGCTTAACTCAAATTATCAAATTTGCTACGAACACAGAAACTGGTCAAAGAATTTACATGATTTGTTAATGAGATCCACTTTTGAAAAACTATATTCGGCCATATATATTTTGTGTCCAATTTTGTGATCAGTTATTTCAAAATTATTAGGGGACGTGGATGTAATGGATACAATTGCTTTTTGTAACTACAGTGGGGCTTGTTTGACAAGCAATTTGGGAGGTCAGATGCTCAAGAGCCAGGTCCAGAAGGGAGGGTTCCCCTGTGGGTGAAAGCAAAGTGTTCAGGAAATGAAAGATAAGTTCTCGGCCATAGGCTTTGGTCCCCGCCAGGTATTTCAATTATCATGACATCAACTGGCAGAAACTTATCATCACATCACTCCAGCTCATGGAATTGTTAATTTATCCAGTTATCGATCTATGAAGAAATACACTCATTTAAATTCTCATCCTCTTCTTTTACACTCTTTATTTATGTGTTTTTCCTTTCCATTTATTTGGTAAGTAAGCATTTCGTTGATGCTAAATCTGGATTTTCCTATAACACTTGAATATTATCATTGGAGTCACTTAGCTCTATTGTTACATGATATATCTAAGGCTTTCATATGTGTTGTCTTTATGTAGTCAATAAGTGTTGAACAGGAAAAATGGGTTTAGGCGGCAATATGGTTTACTAGGTATAAAAGTGGGGTTCTTGGATCAAAGCCGATCAACATGGTTGAAACCAGATGATATTCTGTATTTATTATGTTTTTCTGCTTTGTTACCGTTCATGTTTGATTCAAATTCATGATCACGTAATTCATTCTCATATTCAATGATAAGCTTGGGACAGGTGGATGTGCCTGTTTATGCAGCAGGAACTGGTGTTAAACCTGCAGAAATAGCTAGGCAAGGTCTAGAAGAGGCCAAAAGGAAGAATATGGATGTGGTCATAGTGGACACAGCTGGAAGACTTCAGGTTATATCAGCTATCTATTTGGGGCTACTTTTAATAAGATCTGTTTTTTTAATAAAATAATAATAATTATTATATATGTACTTTTCAACCTTATTTTAACTGATCTATCTTCTTTTTTATATGTGCATGTGTTTGACCCTGAAATGCTGCACCAGTTTTACCACCCTAAGGGATATGAGTTAACCATTGGGGTAGAAAGTTCTGTCATCTTCTTCTTCGAGGACTGTTTTCATGTCAACTTTTTCCCCTTACAAACACACATTAATGTGTACTAATTGGACGTTATTTTTTTTTACTGTTTTCATGTCAACTGAGAGAATTAAATAATCAATGATATCTTCTAGGATAATGTAAAGCTCCTCACTCATTTGTATTTATTTCTTTTGAAGGTTTGGTAGAGGGAACTAGAAGCTCATCTTAAATTCAGATGTGGAGTGTACTCTATAGCGACGGCCGCGTCGTCGGCGTTTGGTATTAAACGTCACAAAAAGAATTAGCGACGTTTTTAATACTTATAGCGGCGTTTTTAAAACGCCGCTAAAAGTTGATTTTCCAGCAGTGTACATAGACTAATACAACAAAACAATACATAGCAAGTAACAAAATACTACTCAAGCACATCCATGTTTTATTGTTTTAGACTTAGACTTGCAACTAGACAATACAATGCTCTTGGCCAAAGGTAACAGTTGAAGGATTGCTCCATAGTCGTGACTTATGTTCGAAGAATGAATCAGCGAAGAAAAGCGAAAATTATAGATATGCTCATTGTCGGCAACAAGGGCTTAGAGCAAATGAGGAATTGGAGACGGCTCCACATCAAGAATCCCTTCAAGGATCTGAACTACCTGACCGATTGATGGCCTATCATTCTCATCATCTTGGATGCACCAACAAGCAACTTTACAAATTCTCCATACCTCTTCAACATCAACATGTTTCTCCAACCTATGGTCTAATAGGCTAAGGACATCTCCACCTTTTATGACTACACTCGCCGCCCAAACTGGAAAGAATTTAACTATCCTTTCTTCAGATTGATCAGTGTTTCTTCTTCCCGATATCAATTTAAGGAGCATCATGCCGTAGCTGTACACATCAGCTTTGGTGGTAATAGCCACTCGTAATATCCACTCTGGTGCAAGATAGCCCGTTATCCCTCTCATGGCAGTTAGAACCCTGCTAAATTCTCGCCCAAGAAGCTTTGCCAGACCAAAATCTGCTATTTTTGGGCGGAAGTCAATGTCTAATAGAATGTTTGATGGCTTTATGTCACAATGTATGATACAGTCCCTGCAATTTTCGTGGAGATAAGCCAACCCCTTAGCTATCCCTAGTGCAATTTGGTACCTTGTTTTCCAGTCCAAGACTTTTGACTCATTTTCATGGAAGAGATGGGAATGCAAGGATCCATTCTGCATGTAATCATATACCAACAACTTGCTTTTACCTTCAGAGCAGAACCCACGAAGCTGAACAAGATTAACATGTTGGATAGTGCCAAGGGTGCTGACTTCTACTCGGAATTGCTTCTCTCCTTGGTTGATGCTTTCCAGCTTCTTCACAGCTATGACAGTGGAATCAGGCAATGTCCCTTTGAAAACAAAGCCAAAACCACCTCCCTCCCATTTTCTCCGAGAAATTCTTGGTTGCTTTTTGTAGATCTTTGTATCTAAATGCAACTAATGAACCATAAACTGTTGTCATCCTCTCTTCATGTAGAAAGCTCAACCATCGAGAAGTGTTTGGCCAAAGCAAACAGGGGGTTGCTATAATCCTGTTTTGTTGCTTCCAGTGAACAACACAAATGAGGCCCAAGACGACTACTATTGCAACTGAACCCACTACAACACCAATAATAATCCCCATTTTCCTTTTAGGCTTTGGAAACTCAGAAGCAGCAAGTCTGAGATAAAGAGTGTTTCCACTACCATCTTGCAGATTCGTGAGCTCCCCAATCCAAATTGAACACCCATTACTATCATAAGCATAAGCAGTGCAAGAGCAATTATTCAAGCAAGAAGATTCACATTCAGCGGCACTGCCAACAGCCACAGATTGAGGATTTTCAGGTAATCTCGTGTTGGGAATTTCCCAAAACCTGTCTTTCTCTTGATTAGCAGTAATAATATTCCCACACAATAACTCAGTTCTCCTCACACACCCTCCAGAATAATCACTTAAATTCCAATAATGGACCGACTTAGGATTGAAACCCGTCAAACAATTACAGAAGGATTGTATAATATTATTGCATATTCCATATTGCCCGCAGAAATGATAAACCTCACATTGCTGTCTCGATTGAGCCCAATACAATTTCCACTGCTTTGTGCCTTCCAACCAATCGAGTTGTTGGATTTGCCCCGAAATATCCATAATAAATCTAGAAATATTCGAAGGATTATACATAGAATATATGAAGTAACTCTCATTCTCATTGTCGTGATAGCTAAAATTAAAGATATAGCTAGTTCTCATTTCAGGTACCAAGTTGAAAATCTGCCCATTCCAAGGACCACTAGTCCAATACTGGTTAGACCCATTCCAAAATATAACATACTGACTATTATTTGCATAAAGACCAAGAGAATCCAGTCCTGTTGAAGGGTCTTCTGAGTTCTTCCATGGAGTTAAACGTTGGTGTGTGTTGGTCAGCTTGTTGTAAGCAATCTTTCCACCAGGGAACCAAGTGTGAGCAGGGTGATCAAAACTTTGCCAAATTGGTTGATTTGAATTAGACCCATCTCTCAAAATAAAATTCCCATCATCCCTGAGAACAACCACCACAGAATTGGAAGTGGTAGAGTTCTGATTTGTGGACCAAATCAGGGTTTGGGATTCATTTAAAAGAACCGAATTACCATCTAAGATTTTGAGTACAGAGGAATACTTATCAGAGATGGGATTATCTCTATTGGCTACCCAAACTATTGTTAAAGTAGATACTTTGGCGTACCACATGGCTATGTAATAGTATGAGGAATTACCTGGTTTGTAGAAACCCAGTTCAAAATTCCCACCAGTAGAGGTTATGGTCTGGTTCCCAGAAAGAGATTGATTTGCAGCGATGGTGTCAGCTCCATAGGAGAGATGGTTGATCAAAGAGAAGAAGAAGCGAAAGAAAATCAAAAACATGAAGGATGAGTTGTTTTTCATACCCATTATGGGCTCAAAGTTTTGTTCATATTATTATATAATCAGATGTTTGAATCAACCTTAAAATGCAACAAAGGTCATGATAAAAGAAGGAGAAGTAGAAGCTTTTAGTGGCTGATATTTTGTTATTTCAACATTATTGACTTAAAATTTTCAAGTCAATAATGTTTCTTTATTTGATCATCTAACCCCTTTCCAACAATTTAATGTATGTCTCTAATTTCTTCTGTCTTACTACTTTTCTTTGGACTTCACTCTCACCGTAAATGATGATAAAAAATTGGAGCAAAAAAAATTTAGAGACTGTTTGGCCAATTCTTTTGTTCAAAAAGAATTTATTCAAAAATTTTAGAGTTATCCACAAATATTGTTTTTTTAAGTGAGAAAATATATTTGTAATCCTTAGATTATGCATTTGATGTTACTTTCGTCCTCCAATTTTAATTTTAGGATAAATTATGGCAAACCTCCTTAAATATGACCTATTTACATTTTACACACTAAATTTTAAAACTTAACAGTTAACTCTCTCAAATATTAGAAACTGAAGTGAATTTATACTTTACAGGTAAATGTTATAATTGTTCACTCAGTGAGTTTTTAGAGTCATCTATAATTGAACTAATTTAATTAAAATGACATAAAATACATATTTTATCATAATTATAGTTTAAAGCAATACAGAAAGAGTTAATTGTTAAAAAATCCAATCAAAAGAGGGTAAAAGACATTAAATCCAGTGAATATTTTTTATTAGTTAAAGGTCCACCATTTGTGAAATATTTTGGTAAGAAGTTATTTTGTTAGTTTTGAAGGATATTTTTTTCTCAATTTTATCCCTTAATTTATCTGTTCACTCTTTTTTGACTATTTGTTCATATTTATATCTATCTGTTCAAATTATTTTCTATTTATTCAAATTTTTTGACTACCTATTCAAATTTATATCTATCTGTTGAGTTTTTTTTTTTTCTATCTGTTCAATTTTTTCCTATATTTGTTCAAAATCAATGGGTTTCTATATTTATCTGTTTAAAATCTATCTATGGGTTTCTCTCTATTTGTTTAAAATCCGTAGGTTTTTTTCTCTGTTTAAAATTTCACAAACTTGTTTTTTATATGTTGGAATTATTCACTGCAACAAAAACACACCAACAAATCATACAAACACCTTATCTCGTCTCACTCCTCATCAGCTTTTCTCTTTCTTTATCTGTCCCTTTCCTTTTTATCAGTCATAGTACAAAGTTGCTTCCAGTTAGGGTTTTCACAAAGATCTGCATCTATTCAACATAAGAATAAAAAATTTTAAAAAAAATTAATTACTAATTTAAATTCAATATATAGAGAGACAACCGATCTAATAACAACAACAAATCCACAGATCTAACCAAAAAAAAAATTATGAGAACTGAATCAAACATCCAACATAAATCAACTACTGATAAAAATTAACATATTGAGGGGCGAATCATCTGATATTCAAAATTTTCCTAACGACGAAACCATAACCACCGAGGGCGACCGAAACCATAATGAAGAAGACAATATGAGGGAGATGGTTGCGATGATGGACACGACGGCGCGGGACGATGATGGAGACGATCTATGGCAATCTGAGGCAATCCAGAGGTCAGTGATGAAACCCTAATAAGGTTAAAGATCAATAACGAAACCCTAACGACGGGTCCACTCATCGTCTCCAACGATTCACTGCCTCATCTTCACTAGCAGCAACGCCTTGTTCCAGTCACGATAACCGAGAACCACCGTGATTGGAAACCCTAACCAGCGATGGAGAGAGAGATAGAGAGAGAGAGAAAGAATGGGTTTGAGGGAATGGCTGTGTTCGGCAACTCTAATCAATTTTCCACCCTCATAGTTGAATGTTATGTTTGGCAGATGTTTTTAAATCATTATTCCAAATCAATTTCAAAACATGTTTGGTAAAATTCTTAATTTTTGAATTTTTGGTCTATCCGGTCGTCTATCTAGATATCCTCACATATGTCCGGCCAGTCATCCGGCTGGTTGACCGAAACAGTTTTTTTTTTTCAATTGCCAATCACCTCTTATTATTTAGAAATATATATATATATATATTTGTTTTTGATATTTTTTAAATATAGGAATTATTTTTTTGAATTGAATTCTAAAAAAGAGTCTGGTTATAAGTTTTGATAGAATTTTCGATAAAGTTTTGAGTTGTGTATTTGGTTTGAGTTTTGAAAACACTTTTCAAAACTCATAACCAAAAAAATTTTCTCATT